AGTCTAGATTAACCAAAAAAATACTAACCAGCAATCCACAGGACAATGCATATCTGTACATGCGTGATGATGGCTTTGGAGGGCCGAAAATGCAGATCCAACCAGGACCGTACGGAGAGCTCGTCCGGATTGTCTGCCTCGTGTATATCATACCGCTCCTCCAGACGAAACGTCGCAGCCGATAGCAGGATAAGAAACAGGAAGTGCGAAATGCAGTTTGTTGTAAATTTGGAGGCCGGACAGCGCATGGCCCGAGCCAACTGGTGGAACGGGAAAAAGAAGAAGAAAAAAACGCTTTTGTTTAAAGTTCATTTTGCCGGATGCGATACAAATAAGGTGCCTGTTATGTACAGTAGAATAGCCATTTTACAGCACGGCTCAGAGTTCGTGCAACATGTCAACATTTTTGAAAGTTTAATACCCACTTGCTAATCGGCATTAAGTAAGTTTTACCTTGTAGCCTTCTGTGAAGTCATCTCAGTCACGATAAGAGGCCAACTTTTTAACGAGTTTCTTTCTAACCGCTAACAATACGTATGTATTGTAAAAAATATCTACTTAAGTAGTAGGGAATTTTATCAGTGATTTTGACTGCGTTTCTAAATTCAAATGTATTTTATGGAAAACATATACGAATAAATTATTTTTATACTCGTTTGGCAGGAAATTACGCCTTCTTTAAATTTTATACTTGAACAAAGGGTATCGTTTGGTTTTATAAAATGGTGTAAGTATGAAATTTTTACGATGGTGAAGAGTTCATCTATAATGTATCGCATCCGTAAGTTCAATACTGCTGCCGATAATGTATACAACATGATCCAAGTCTACCGCAACCTTCTATGAGAACTGTGTGATTGCTTCCTCCAACCGTATGCAGAAACCTCCTGTTTCTTAAACAGGATGTAGACAGCGTACAGTTTGTAAAAAAGTTGAATTTAAGTGTAGCAGTTGGTAGTCTTCAAAATTCTTAGGGAATTAATACACTTATTTAGAACCGAAGGATGCCCTGTCTTTAGGTATAAAATGTAACGAAGGCGTAATTTTCTATCAAGAAAATACAAGAGAGAACCTTAAGTATATGTGTTTCATAAAATTTATTTGAATGTAAGATGGCAATCAAACTCAATAATAAAAATGCCTTCTACTTCAGCAGTCACTTTTTAAAGTGCATAAGTTTTGCTAGCAGTCAGAACGAAGCTCGTTAAAAGCCGGCATCCTATCGTGACTAAGATGACTTGATAATAGGCTACAAGATAATCAGTACTATAAATTTACTCAATGCCAGTTAGCGGCTGGGTAACAAGCTCCCGCAAATGTCAGCATGTTCCACGAATTCTGAACCGTACTGTAGAAGTCAATACCCGTAAATCCCACAGCAGAGCTCAGGAGAGAGACATAGCTTGCATAAGTTAAGCAAGTAATATGCAAACGTTTATTTCCGTCTGGGCGTTGCCCCCAGGCAGATATATTGGCCATAAGTGGTTGCTAAGCGGAAAATTGCAAATTTACTGGGGGGTTTTCTGCCCGAAGGCAGAAAGAAATTCGTGGGTGGCTGGAAGGGCCACCGGTCAGAGAACTCAACAAAAAGCTGAAGTAGTAGATGGCACGTGAGGCATTTTTACGAAATGCAGCACTTAAAGTAACAAACTCCTCTATCCTAGTTAACGTCAGAGCTCAAGATTAAATTTGATAGGAGGTCTAAGATATCAGGCACGGGAACTGGACGCTTCTAAAAAGAAATTAAAAACACCTAAATAATATGAAACTCTGGCAATTTTCTTGAATTTTCAAGCAAATGCGACAGACAGTCTGGTCCTGAAACACTTTAGAGTAAAAAATATTTTCGCAGACGTCTTCGAGTTTCTTTTATGACATTTTTTTAAAGAAGTGGTTAGCGTATATGCTCCCTCCGCACAAATGGCACGGGAAAAGGTATGCCCCGTAAGTTAAGGATGAAGTTGAAGATGAGGATGAGGACTGGGATTTAGTTAGCGTTATGTGTAAAGCTTAGCATAGGGTTAAGATGAGAGTTATAGGCGAGAATTGCAGATATGGCCTCTTCTTGCAAGACAAAGAAGCAGGAATATTCACCTTAGGAAAGCTAGTCTCTACCTAAACGTCTGTTCTCGAGTCATTAGCTATAACTTAACCTTATTCTAACTTTAACGCAACCCTACTCTCTAACCTAACTCTAACCATAAACCTCATAGTTGCATTACTCCTTTCAATATACTTGCCATAACCTAGCGCAACATCAATCTGTAAAGTGGAGACCGAGAGCGCAATGGTGAGATGCTTGTTTTGTTTTAATACCCAGTGCACTCATTGGAAGTTCTGCTTGCATTTAATGCAACTCGTCTTTAATGATCCCTGACCTGATCTTGACATATACACTGCTAGATTAAATTACCTCTATCTTCTGCTCCGTTGCATACCTCCATAAGCTCTTTTTAAACTTTTGGCTACAACTGCCGTGTTAAGCTTCAACTATTTAAGGCCTACGAGACCGCTAAATACGGTACGAAGAAACAGCGCGCCTCCCTGTCAGAGTTTTCTTACCAGTCAGCCCTACTTACTTAGCCGGACGTAATGACCCAGGGCACAAAATACACCCCCAAGCACAGTCAGAACTTCTTTTTTAGTCTGCAGACCCACTGCGCAAAGTGAGCAGACGGCGTCTGCTCAAATTAGTCTACAAATTAGCCATCTCTCTCGAAGCCCACTGGGGCGCGCTGCTGCGTAGGGATTGCATCCATAGCAGCCTTACTGCGGTCTACCTTGTTTAATTTCCAACCAAATTAGGCGCTCTAATATGAGGTAAATCCGCCAGGACCAAACGCATTTGGCGTAGGCTGCCTTCAGAAGTCAATATTTGAAGATTGCCAAAACAGCAGAATAATCTAATGGATCCTGGTGAGTGCTCACCAGCTGCTAACTGTTGCTGCATAATATGGGAAACGAATGAGAAAATTAAAAACTGCATTCGTACAGAAGGTCAATAAGGTCATTGGACATGGTCCCGAAGGCTAAACAGTAAAACAGGCGATTTAAAACAACCTGGGAATAAAAGCAGAGGAAAAAGCGTTAGAGGGAACTGTGTAAATCAGGGAGCCGGATGCTACCAAGGTCAAGTTAGGTCAACCACATGCTCCAACTGTTTAAACAGGTCAGGTTTTGACCGCCGTATATAGGCTACCTCCGGATAGCGCAAAATGCAAGTTGTTAACGCCCGCCTATTACTCGGTAGGGAGTTTTGGGGTCCATAGAATGACCCGTATCTAGCAAGTGTTCAGTAATGGAAGACCGAGAGGTCCTATTTTCCTGTTTTAATAGCCAACTAGGCAAGTCCGCCTTGGCTCTGACTGCCAATTGCCGTTGCATTCGCCCTATTTACTTGCATCTGCAAGTGCATGTAAATTCGGAAACACAATTGTAAGTTGCCAATAGAGGAGAATATGCGAGTTTCTGGAAGCAGTTCAGAAGAAGAAGATGCGATCACTGGAACAAGAATTTTATTTTCCTTACGTTTGGGATTCTGTCGAGAATCCCTTATCATAGGTAATCGTAGGACAGTCGGAGACATGCGTAGATAAGGGTGAATTATGCACAGATTGCACGGTATTTGTAGTTCGTAGCGGTCATCCGCATGCGTATTATAATTGCCAGTCCCCGTAGCCGCCGCTTGAAGTCTTAATTGGTGCGGCGATGGCTCATTAATTGCCAAAGTTTGCTTGTCAGCGTCGAATGCGGGCTTGATAATTGCGGGAGAATTATGTCCGCTGTCGTCAGAGTCCTTGCTGATCCCGGTCCTTCCCACGTGACTGATTCTGTTGTTCAGGTAATTTTTAGTACATCGTATGGGAACGCAAAATCGTTGCGGTTGTTTATGGACTCGGGGCCTAAGAACCATGACTCGAGCAGCTCGCAGCTCACGCGGTTGTCACCTCTTGCGAGGATTTCGGCTTCGTCAAATTTAAAAATATGGCCGGGTCCCGTCGAATGAGCTGCAACCTGGGAGTTGGCGTTTTTCTTCCTCATCACCGCTAAATGCTCGGCCCTTCGCGTCCGAATGGTGTGCAATGTTAAGGCGTCCTTTGTACGTGGAATTATTAAGGGCTTAGTTAGACTGCAAAATAGGAGTTAAGCAGCATAGTGTGTCCTTGTAATGGTGTTACGTAGGCGTCTCTTGATGGTATTTAAAATGTTGTGGCCTCTAAAGGGCAAATATATGAAAACAGTTTTTTTTTCACAAACTGCCAGCTAGCCGGCGTCAATCAGAAGTATACAGGGAATTAATTACCCTATTAGGTGAGGTGGATTGAGTGCTACTCACGTGTGAGGTAGGCAGAATGATGTAGAGGACGCAGAGTAGGGGCAGCAACGGCGTCGCTAGGATTGAGAGGCTGACCTTCCGCATCAGCGTCCAGGACTGCAGAAACGCCGTCTCCGAGCCGTACCAAATGCTGGTCAGGTACTGCTGGCAGTTAGGATGCGCCACAAACTGTAGTAACGAAATAAATACAATATAGATGTATATATTATATACAATATCCATTCAATTACGTTCACATCACCGCAGATAAAGCCCTAAGCTGGCGACTTATTGATGTTTGCATTCGGCACCTCACTGTCTCCGGTTATTTTTCGAGTTTTGTTTAAAAACGACTCGTTGAAATCTAAACGTATTCTCTGAATGCTCTCTTCAACTGTCGGTGTTTTTTATGCCTTTTTAAGCTGATATTATAATACAGCGACACTTTACAACAGACAAGCAATTTGCTGATCACAATCTTGGTGAAGTTGCCTATCCACTACATTTGGAATTAATAACTGCGATGTCTTCCCGCACTATGCACCGGGGCTTCCGACATATGTCTTGTCGTACATCGGCATATCAGCAGTCTGTGCTCCTGTTCTAGCATGCTATCTCACGTGCAAATAAACGGATATCCAGACGTGAAGATTAGATCTCTCCCCAGAATAGGTGTGGATTATATGTCAACCTCTAATGTTTTGAGTATTCTGTCAATTTATCTCTTGGTTTCAGTGAAAAGAGCTATTTTTGCTGACAGTTTGGATGTCACTTTTAAAAAACAGCTTACTTCTCTCTCTAAAAAAAACTAATGGCACAACATTCCTACCTAACGGGTTTGAATATTCGTATGTGTCTACTGATAAGCTTATTTAGGGACACACTATTGGATAAAACAAAAACCGCGCTAAACAAAGCGCTACGCAACCGCTAAGAAGAACAATTTTTTTTACCTGCATTCGTAGCAATTTTAAGGTGTAAAAATTCGGCAGGAGTTTCCTTGGTAGCGCACATATGTTCTTATTTATATTAACATGCCTACACAATTAATTTCTGTAAGGGTTAGGTTTATGGTTAGGGTAAGGGTTAGGGTAAGTGTTAGGGTTAGGGTAAGGGTTATGATTAGGGTTAGGATAAGAGTTAGGGTTATGGTAAGGGTTAGGGTTAGGGTAAGGGTTAGGTTGGGCTAGTGATTTCGCATTTAAAAAGCCCGAAGTTTCTGTCTTACGGGAAGCGTAGGAGTAGGCATTTAAATATAAATAAAAACATATGTGCACTACCAAGGAGACTCCTGCCAAAAATGCATATGGAATAGTCAAGTTACCATTAAAGATGATAAGAAATGTTCTCTGGACATGCAGATACTTGAAATCCCGGTAGCCTCCGTAGGCAGACTTACACCGAATCTTCCGCACCCCCTCCCCCTCAACCGCCCTTCTTTAATGTCGACAAGACTGGAGGTGACTAGACCACCCGTCTACGCATCGCATAATCGAGCTGGTGGCAACTTCAGGTGTGTCGGAGGAAGTATATAAAGGAGACCACAGCCCGGCTCCCCACCCTTTAGAGGAAAATAGATTTTTTCCCTGTGTCGGTCGCGTTAAAATCCACGATGTTTAGTGCGCCGGAATAAAGTACGTGCCAGAATTCGTTTAATATACCGACATATGCGAAACATTGATACTCCCTCGCTAATTGGCATTGACCTAGGTCGTGATACTGATTACACTGTAGTCT